GAGGAAGGCTTATCGATCAGAATAGAATACGGCCCGCTAAATTGACCAATCACAGCCCGAGTAGTTCCTGATACAAGAGAGGCGTATTTCGTATCATAACCGAGTTACTTTCCTCGAGCGTTTTTTTTTTTGTCTTTTCTTTTCTCTTCCAGGTGCGGATTTCATGCCAAACAGTTCGCTGAAAACATTGATTAGTTTATGCTAATATTTCCACAGACTCTTTCCTTTATTCGTATCTAAAGGCTTCAAAAGGTTAACTGGGTCACTGAAAACAAACTTTTGATTGACACTTTGAGATAGATCTTTATTAATATACATATAGAGCTAACAAGATTGATATTGATCGCGAGACCCCACTCAGATAAACTTCAGTCCACATTTTGCATAACAAACGTTTAAGGGCCAACTATTTCAGTAAACGAACTTTAAGCAGATCAATGTCGTGGTTTAGCTGAAGACAGCGATGGGAATTAGGAGGTTTAAGACAGATCAAAAACAACAAACTTGAAGCCATGTCTTTTTTTCAGATGACTTCCGTAACTGATGAGTTGTGTTACTAGAGGAAAGTGATAACGCGGATGTCCACCAAGTCGAATAACCGTTCAGTTCTATAGCAGGGCTACAATCAGTTCTGGTGGTATTTATCGTCTTCGCCGAAAAGGAAACTTAGCTGGATCATTTGATTGTAGAGATTCATGGCGTTATTAATTTTCAAAATATGCGCTCACGAGGTTCCTTTTCTCAGAAAAACAGGAAGTCTGAGCTAAACCATGCGCGCGCATTGAGGTATCTCCAGACAAGACAATAATCATTTCTCGAAAACAACATCTATATTCCTAGAAATAAAACTGAGATGATATTATTTAAAACATAACTGCATAGTCAGCAATTAAGCAATAAAACGAGCATCACTCTTGCTCTAAGCATAACATTTCCACAAAGTCTCGAGCTTCGTATTGTAGCTATCGTCCGCGACGGAAACCTTGGGGAAAACGGTGATATTGTTCTGCAGGTTGTTTCACGGCCATCTTGGAAACCTTGGCAGGCAGGACGAAGGCCTGGGAAGATGGCCTGTTGTAACCCGCGTGAGCCTTGAAAAATCCACCCAGTCCGTTGCCTTTCACGTTCCAGATGGAGACATTCATTGGAGCACCCGAGCCTTGATCGGTCCACAGAGCTGCAGTATCCAGCGCTCCTTCAGACAGCAAGTCACCGCGAATGCAGGCGTATTTGGCTGTAAACTGAGCCGCAGGCGGATTGTAGCCATTACAAGCCACATCACCCAGTGCTATGTAGCCGTAAGGAGCTTGAGGGCGCCAAAACGAACCATCCTGTTTGCCACC